AACTTAAGCCTCAAAAACTGTGTGATATGTTGTAGCATTTTATGTAAAGGAACAACATAAATTAATATTATAAGTTTCATGATCGTTACAAATTTTTTCAGATTAAAGCTATATAAAAGCTATAGTTTGTCTTGAAATTGGTAATATATCATATAGAAGATATCGTATTAAAACTATCCAATAGTCCAGCTGCTTTGAAGTTTTTGCGTTTAATCTATGCATCTCAGAACAAAATATATACGCAGTTCAACAGTTTTTTCTTCCGGTCTCAGAGGTAACGCTATCAATAGTAATGCGAATAATGATTTAGCTACTTAGGATACTTACAGAATATATTCGAAACATATGAATAATCTGAAAATGCAGCTTGCATTAGTAAAGTATTGTTAAAACGTTCAAGTTCAAAACAACTAAATGAAAGATGAGAAATATATGCTAATTAGAAAATCAAAGGATTTCATTAGGATGCATTGTAAGGATAATAGGTTTTTTAGAAGGGGTGTTGTCTTTAACCATACTTAAAGATTTATTATTCCTTCTAATGCCTCTTACCGCAGCTGTAGAGAAAATACAAATAATTTTTCTCACCTAATTTGTCAGACTAGCAAATATACAGCGTATGTTAAATATATTAACGACTTACGCCCTAAAAACTTTTAAGCAACTATACAGCCTGAGTAGTTCGAAGGTTTATATATGATACTACAATAATGAATTTTTTTTTGGTTTTTAATTTATTTATATTTTTACATTTATTTGTTTCATTTACAATATAATTATTTTTTTTATAATTTTTTATTCATTATCTCAAGATTACAAAGGTTGCTATCTGTAGGCCGTGTGCGTAAATTGAAATTTCCAAGGGATTTTTAGCACTGCACTTATGTAAATATTTATTTATTTATTTATTGCACTTGTTTATTACTTTTTGTTAAAAGTTTTCAAATTTATTTATTTATTAAACTTCTTTTAAAATTTTCACATTAGTAACACCTAATGTACTTAATTTTTATCTAATTCTGGTAAATACCCAGATTCGTTGCCTTACCGCATAATTTACTATTTCCCTCAATTTACGAACAATTTACTCAAACTCGCACACGGCCTAAATGTCTTAAAGTAATTTACATTTTGCGGAAAATTACTTACGAATAAAGTGGAGTTATTTTAAAAATATTCTTTTTCCTTACTACGTACTAAAACTAATATTTGTTTCTTTAGTGTAATGTAATGAAAGTAGAGACCAATCTTTAAAATTTTCTAGCCGTTTTCTTTATTAAATTTTCTAAATAATTTCATATATTTCACATAATGCTAATTTAATGATTCTATTTCAGCTTTAAATTAAGTGAACGTTGTCTTTACTAAATGCTATCTGTATTCTTTATACTATGAGTTACTGTTAATTTTGATATGAATCAATAATAAATTTTATATAATTAATATTTCAAAAACAATTGGAATTATTGCAATCCACTGAAAATTTTTCTCAGTGCTTTCATCTGCGTTCATGTGAAAATCTGACAGCTTGGTGTCGCTGCTAACGCGATAATTGTCAGTAGAGCCAATCGCACAATAATTCTTTCTGTCAAAAGTTCTTAGTGCCGTGCGCGTCCAAAGTTTGTGATTGGTAAATAATCATTGAAATATAATAACATCATATAAATAATTTGAAAATTATTATTGATTTTTAAATCTCACGAATGTGATAGTATTTATTACATAAATAGTTCGATGTGATTGTGTTAAATTAAAAAGCTATAAGCATTTTAAATTTTTGACCTTTCTACTCACTTGTACAGAAGTGTACATATTTAATTACAATAAAATATTTCATTATTTTAGACCGATAACAAATTAATTGCTTGTGTTACAGATATATAAACAAACATGCCTGAATTAACTGAAATCAAAAATGATACCGTAGAAGCCACTACTCTGCCCAGTGCTAGCACTGCAGCTACCGCTGAAGCCAAACCAGCTGAGAATGTACGTCTAGAGGATGACGGTAGTGACAGTGATTCGGAGGATACCATTCCTGAGTTGGAAGATGCTGGTGCTGGAGCTACACAGTTGGGTGGCGGTGCTACCGGCTTGCCAATTGATCTCGTATCCAAAGCTAAACAATCTCGTGGTGAAAAGAAGGCACGTAAAATTATGCTTAAATTGGGTCTCAAACAAATTCAAGGTGTCAACCGTGTAACCATACGCAAATCCAAGAATATTCTTTTTGTTATAAATAACCCGGATGTCTACAAGAATCCACAAAGTGATACCTACATTGTATTCGGTGAAGCTAAAATCGAAGATCTTTCGCAGCAAGCACAAGTTGCCGCTGCTGAGAAATTCAAGGCACCTGAAGCTGCTGGCGCTTCCGATACTATTGGTGCTGCTACGTCTGTTGCGCCAATTGCAGAGGAAGACGAAGAAGAAGTTGACGATACTGGTGTTGATGAAAAGGACATTGAGTTGGTTATCACCCAAGCTAACACCACGCGAGCCAAGGCTATACGTGCGCTCAAGAACAACAATAATGACATTGTCAATGCCATTATGGAGCTTACTATGCTTTAAGCATAGACGAAGGCTCCTTTGTGCATTTGCAATACCCGCCCTATTATACTAAAATTACAAGAATTATTAAAAAAAAAGTTTAAAAGTAAAAAAACAACTTTCTTATTCAAACTTGTTAAAGAAATGAGTATTTAAAATTAACAAAATAAACAGTCAAAATTCATGTTTATATATTATTTTATATTCCTTCTTATTTTTTAAAAGATATCTTGTGGGTTAAAATAGCAACGATTATTGATTTATTATTTCCATTGTCTTTACAAAACGATATAAATGGTTCTCATCATGTGTCCAGCTGACAGATATTTTAATATTCGTGCAAAAGTTGGCTTCACGTTTTAAAACTATGCTTCGAAATTTCCAGAAGATTTTTGCTCATTTCACACATGACTTCAAAGTGGAATCGTAAAGGTCAGTACATAAATACGAGATTACGCACAAAAGTTTATTTATATCGATGGTTTACAATAACCGTCAAAGGATGACGTGACGTGACGGTGCCAAGTTTCCAACCCGTTTAAAAGGTAATCTATATCAATGGTTATATTTTTATTGTTGTCGATTTTTGTCTAAACTTATTCACAATTCAGTGGATGTGATGGATGATGAAAATATTGTTTCACTAAGAAAAGGCATTAGCATTAGATATATATAATATATCTATAAATAAATAAATATATAATATTTATATAGATAAATATATATACTTTACAGGAAATTTTGGGTCTGAAAATTTTGACAATGTTAATATATCCTTTATACTCATTATCCGTAAAAGTTTAGCATATATGCTTAAAATTTTTGATAGCGTTATTATCCTATGTTATTTGTTAATTCACAGCTGCATTACATGACAGTTAAGAATGATCCAATAGTTACTCTAGATTCTATTCTAATGACTTCTAAGGCAAAGTTGTAGGCCTTACGATTTATCTTCTACCACAAGACCGACAGTCCGATTTTTACTTTGTCATGAGGTGTGCTTTTACCTTTTCTATTTAAGACACTTATATGAAGTCAGACTCACGCTCGACACTATTAAAAAGTTTTCTAAGGCAAGACTATAGGCCTTACGATTTATCTACTACCAGGATGCCGATCGTCCAATTTTTATTTTGTCATAAGGTGTGTTTTTACTTTTTTCATTCGAGCTTATAACTCATTTGAGTTATAAGAAAATGAATCATCCACCTTCATCAGGACTCGGTTTGATTTCAATTCTATCCCTTATTCAACCCTACTTCCGAATTCCCTTTATCATTGCCGATTCACATCCTAGCCTATATATTTGTCTTGTAAATCCTTCCATGTTATCCGCTTTCCACATTTCAGCGGTTTACAATAACAGCCACCTTAAATTGAACTTCATAAGGTATTAAGTTCTGATTCAAGGAGTATCTTAAAAAGGATATCGTTAGGTTTATCAGTAGCCATAATATTAATTTCAGAGCTTTAGATTTAGCTGCTTTATCCATGTGTTCGTTTGTACTATCGTTCCTTCTGGTAAAAATAATAATTATAAAATTAACATTGAAAAAGTATCGTTTTTTTTTGCTATCATTTAAATATATTTGGACAATGAATATACAAATAAAATTTTACTAATAATTTATTTGACCAAAAATACGGTACGATTTTACACGATAATATAAAATTAATTTTAATTAAACATTGGGATAATATGAATAAAAATTTAGTTTTTATGACGGGCTTATTAAACATTAACTACGACACATATAATTTATTAATTGCGTTAAGATTCTTATAACTTAATTTAGGTATTGATTAATTCCAAATCCCAGCTAATTAATCACACATCGGTTATTCTTGATTTAGGTTAATATAATGAGATTAAACTTAACAATATTTAAACATTATTTGAGTTTTAAGTGAGATTACAGTTTGGGCTTACAAAGAGAAAAATTAAATAAAAATGATATATATATATAGTTATAATAAATTTATATAATTATAATAATATAAATAAATTAAAATAAAGCGACAGAAAATTTGTTTGAAGATGTTCCTTTTATCACCCATTTTTTTATCCTGTTTGGTTGAAGTATAAATGTATTTCTGCCGCACCATAGCTTTTTTTTTATAATAAGTTAAGGAGTGTATGTGATGCTTAGTAGTTTTATATATTTTATACAAGCCATCTTATTTTTTATTAAATTTTTAGCATACATTTCATTATTAAACTATATTTGACATAGGATTATTATTATTATTTGTTATAGGCCACCATATCAATTAGGTACTTAGAATTACTATGGTTTTGAGTTTATATTAATATTTTTATCATTGAATTTTAACCACTGTAAGCATGTTTCCTTCATTTAAATTTAATCAAATTACATTGCGGTTATTTAAATTATACTTAATAACATTTATTTTGTTGATATGATAGTAAATTTTTATTTGAGTTAAGTTTGTTGAACAAATTCCCAGTATTTAGTCTTGTCTTCAGTATCTTTTGCTATGTGTTATTCATCTATAAATTATTTTATTTAGTACCAATAAATATACTGGTACTTTCAGTTTGTGGGATTTGAATTGATCTAATATTAATTTTTAAACCATATAATTTAACGAACATAGATCATTTCAGGTCCAGTTATTCTAAATACATATTCCGTTTTTATATTTATTTATAATTTTTAACTGATATTAAATTAGTTTCAAAAAAACCATACCATCTTCCATTTTAGATTTTCTTTTCTAATTTTGTTTAAATTAAATTTTATGTGCATATTACAAAGAAAAACTTTTAAAATCAAATTACTTTAAGATATTGATTTTAAATATCTGTTTAAGAAATTAGGACTCATTATGGTTATCTTAGCATTTGATATCAATTCACTTCATCCACATTTCAAAGTACTATTTCCTTTTTGTAAATTTAAGCTTTTATATGTTACTTTCCTGTTTCTTTTTTAATCAGATATACCGGTTCAATTATAAAAGAAAATTTACTCCAGTTCCAGTTTTCGGTTCGACAAAATCAACAGATTTTTTTGGTTTCCAGCTTGAATGCTTTATTATGTTTGGAAAATTCTATATTTTATTTTGTTAAGTGGGTTAATTTAAAAGTGCTCGTATGCTTGTTTTTAGTTCCTTCAATATTTTGTTATCTAGTTTTTATTGTTGTTATTCTGAAAAAGCATACAATTTTAGTATAATGTGCTGTGTTTATATATTTTTGAGATTCATTAATATTATTTGCGATTTAAGTAATATATACATAAACTAAAAATTCCTTTTCTAGATATATACTTCATCTTAATGTATACATTATTTAAATGTATACTCTATCTTGATATATTTTTATTCTTAATGTATATATCATCTCATTGTACTCTTTAACTTGACATACACTTCATCATAATGCACTCTTCATCTCGTTCTGTACTTTATCCTAATATTTACTTTATCACAGCGCATACTTCATCTCAACTTATAATTCAGTTTGATGTATACTTCATCTTGATATATAATTATCTCAATTTTTGCTTATTTCTATATGAATTATATTAAAATTCTTTTGTGTGCACGAATTACTTCTCTTTAAGTTCAAATTAGAGATTTATTGAAGATAAGCATAAGCTGATTATTTTATCCTGTCGATGTAAGAAAAGTAATTATCAAATTGGACGTTAATAGTCTTATTCTGTAACAATGTTAGTAAAATATTTATGGACTTGGTTTATTCCTTATTAATTATCAAATTTATAATATATTATATTACTTTTATTTTCTGTTTGACTTTTACTATATCTTATTATTTTCGGAAGTAAGCAAATTTCTAGTTGATTTTACCGCCATTTAATTTTTTTTAAATATTTCCTTTAATGGAAGCTCTTTAATATTCTTGTCCTTGTAATATTTTATGGAATTAATTACAATTGGCATATTAATCCACTTAAGTTCATTTATTTATATTTATTGGAATTCATTATATTTTATATTAAATCTTGTTTTACTCCATTTGGCATATTAATCCACTTAAGTTTATATAGTTTTTGTATATTTTTCATATATTACTTTTTTGCTAATTATAACGTAATTTTTACTTCTTTCTATTAATTATCCAATTTAATATTATTTGGCATTTTATGACTTAGTTTTTCCATATTTTTTTCTTATCATAGAAGTGCTTTTAATTTTTACATGCTTTTATTATTTCTCCGGTTTAATTAACTTGGCAATATATTTTATATTTGATTTACTTGTTTTCATATATTTTTCTTATCGTAGACGTACTTTTACTTTATACATCATTTTATTATTTGTCCATACTTCTGAGGTTTGACATCCTTTTATTATTTCTCCGATTCTTTTTAGTTAGCAATTTGATATATTTGACTTAGTTGTTTCAATTAATGACATATCCTTAATAACTTCTTATAGCCCTCATATATTTTGTGTTTTGTGTTAAGTACTGTTTAGGAATCACTCAAATCACTCGAATTTCCTTCGTCCAATCTAAGCATACGTGCTTGACTGCGTGATTGCAAATGTATGTCGGCAGGTTGCTGCAACCATGGCTCTCCATCTGCTTGCATATGACACGGATTTTTAACAACAATCTGGAATTTCATTTTCATTTCAGTAATAAAAATAAAAAACTAAATATTAATAACAATTTATATATATTTACTCTGATTTGCTTAGCTTGTCCAATTCGTACAGGCTTACTAATGCCACATTGTAGTTGTGCCATGTGGAAAGAAGACACGATACCAAAAACTTCTAAACTGCTGTCTGAGATGCAATTTATCATTTTAACATTTGAATCTGCATTCCAAAGTGCTATTTGAAATTAAATTTAATTACCAAATTTAATGGAAATGTGTAAACCTTGTTCTTAGGAGTAATTCTTTCTTTACCGCATAATTTGCAACCGGCGCCCCAAGAATCAATGTTAAGAAAAACAATAGACTGCAGAGGTGGCAGCGAAATCATTTGACTATCCATATAAAGATCGAAGTTTTGGTCAATATTCTCGCAATCCCGTTGAACTATTTGTTGTGTACCAAAAGTAAAGTAGAGCAGCTTAAATAAAAAAAAAACTCTTTATACTCACATACTTACAAAAATTTTAATATAATGATTTATTCTTACCTTATTAAAAAGTCTACTGCTTAGCACATAAAATCTCGACTCACGCGTCTTATGAAAATTATACGTCACCAGCGCGTCAACACCAATACTAAAATAGTTATAGACGTGTATAGTTTTCATGGGATGTCTTTTTATGGGTAAACGATAATGTAGCTTTTCAATTTGTAAATCATATCGATCTAAATTAATACCCCGTGCACGTTTTACCTATTAAAACATATTATTTTTATAGCAGCAAAAAAAAAAACAAAAAAGTAATATTTTCATTTACGTTTTTTAATATCTGTATAGGATCTAATTCCGGTGGTTCTGCTCCCCAACCAAGTATACGTGATAAATCGTTTCCAGTGCCAAGTGGCAGAATAGCTACTGCTGGTATGGGCTAAAATAAACTTTTTTCAATTATAAAAAATTATTTCCTATTCTCACCTTTACTGCATGCACACCTTTATGCCTAAGCTATATATTGTATTCAGTACCCAACCAATTGTACCATCTCCACCAGCTACAAGTATACGGCATGGTCGTGGTTGAGCTTTAATGGCCCATTGTAGAGCATCATGTGGCCCACGTGTGCAGAGTTGCATCACTTGTAATGGATGCAAATATCCACGTAGTAGTGATAACACATCTGCCGCAGTGCTGCTGCCAGATCGTGTATTTGCAATAACAATAAGTGGTTCCCAATTTTCGATATCTGGTGGCTTTATACCAGCTAAATGCAAACGTACAGATTCTCGAGTGCGTGCCGCAACAACGGAATATGGTGGAAATATTAAATCCTTAAATTCGCCTAAATCACATTTGCCTCTCACATCCACTTGTTTATAGCAATTGTTATGGTATGAACGTTGACACCAGCAACAACGCCAACCAAATAATCCAGGTGTAGCCTGGTAGTCGATTTCATCGTTGCAAGCACTGCACGTAATTCCTAATGGTAAGTTTCCATGTACCCAAAGATGAGTTAGTGATGTTTCATTACGCAGGAATTTATCTTTACAGCGATATTTGCTGTCTATTAGTTTGGTACAGACAGGTGCGGAATGGGTGCATAAGCCACAACAATCGCAAAACAGTCCCGCAGAAGGTGTAAGCAATACTTCACATGCATTGCAATAGCATGGCTAAAATAATTTATATTTTTTTTTGTAGATTGCAATAATTTTGTTTAAAAATCTATAAATACCTTATTTAGAATTTTAATAGATTTCCAACTATGACGTGTTTTTCCTGGTATACAGACAACATCCTCCACTAATAAGCTGCGACAAAAGAAAAACAACGCAGTTAAGGCCAGCAAAGAGCCTATTATGGCTTCAGAACCAAGTTCTAAACTTGACCAATTCATTTCGTATAAAAGTAGAAATGTTTTATATATATTTTTAACATAATTCTAATAATTAATTATGCTTAATGCGTCTGCTAACACTTCAACGGCACAAATATAAATACTTTTTAATAAAAAATAAATCAATAAATGACATTAAATGGAATTATAGAATTACAAGTAATTGCAAAGTTGTCATATCGTGCACTGTACTACCGACCCATATGTTTTCCGTATTTGTTTACGAAAGGCAACCCCAAAATAGTGCACTTTTAATTTTATTAAAATATATATAAATATATTTAAAATGAGTAAATATTTTAAGTAATAAATAATATATACGCTAAAAACAAAAATATAAACAAAAATTCATACATTAAATAAAGTAATTTAACTTTTTATTTTTCACATATAAAATAAACACAAAAAACGTATAGTTTCAAAAATACTTTTTTGACTACACAACACCCTTTTATTGCATTTGATTGTTCTGTTGCCGCTTCCACGTGCTGTGTATGAAGCGTTCTGATAAATAAGTTTTTATTTAATTTGGCCTTAATAATTAAACAAATATACAATGGGACGAAAAGCTGAGTATGATACGAAAGTCAAAAAGGGTCCTGGTCGTAAGGCACGCAAGCAGGGCGCTCCTACATTTCCAAAAAAGTCTTTTGGTAAGGAACAAAATTACATGTGCATTAAGGAGAATTAATTAAACGTATTTTTGTATATATTTAGCTCCTCTGGATGATGAAGACAAGAAATTATCACATCGTCAAAAACAACGAGTGGCTAAAAGAGTTCAGAAAAAAGAAGTTCAAAAAGCTAAACAGAAACAAAATAAAGCAAATAACAAAGTAGCAAGTAAACAGAAGAAATACAATAGCGACAGTGAAGATGAAAATGAAGCTGATATACAACAAGACCAGGGTCTTAACGGAATTACTAAACAGAAAAAAATCAAAAAATTATTACCAACAAATGGATTCACTGACGAAAATCAGGAATGGTTAAAACCCAAACAGAAAAAATCTAAAGCACAAGTTGAAGTTAGTGAAGAATTTAATAGCGACGACGAAGATAATAGTGATGAACATGATGATGAAGAGCTATCTGATGGTGACAACATGGAAGACGGTGATAATATTGAAGAGGCTGAAGATGACAGTAGTGGTGATGATGATAATGATAATGATAATGATGACGATGATGATGATGATTTCGAAAATGAAGCAGAAGAAAACGAAAGTGATGAAGAAAACACTACTGACAAATTAAAAGTTGGTAAATTGGATGATCTTTCTGACGAAGCAAATTCAGATGATGATTTTGATATATCAGAAGATGAGGATGCATTAAATAAAACAAAAGCTGGAAACGATTCTGATATAGATGATGATGAGGATGAGGATGGTGATGAAGATGATGATCTCTTGCCTATTGAACGTGCAAATAAAAAGCTTAAGCAGCGTGAGAAAAAGGAAGCTAAATTAGCTGCTGCTGAAATGCAAATGTCAATTGATAATCAAGAAATATTTCGGTTTCCCGATGAAAATGAAGATCCGGAAAAGGAAATTACGTTGCAAGAAGTTCAACAACGCATAAAGGATATTACTTTGGTATTATCGGATTTCAAAAAATATCGCCAACCTGATAGATCACGTCCAGAATACTTAACTTTGTTACGTCAAGACTTATGTTTATATTACAGTTATAATGAGTTCTTAATGGAAAAGTTAATGGATATGTTCCCTTTAACAGAACTGATGGAATATCTAGAATCGTCGGAGGTAAATATCATTTAACTGTGTTTTATTTATTTTATTATTTCAACATAATGCTCACTTTAATCATAACTTAAGTGTTTTATTAATTTTAATTTTTTAATATTTTTTTATGATTTTATTTTTATAATTTTATATAATTTGGTTTTTTATTTTTTACACCATTTCAATGCTTAACTTTTATTTGCTTATTTAATACTATGCTTACACTTATAACTTTCGAATATCATTGGTACATTTTTGTATGGATTTAGTATGAAAATTAACATTAATTGCTGTTCATTTTTGGAGTTAATTAGAGTAATGTAAATGTACTGTTAGCTTCCTAAAGAACGGCTGGGTCTACGTCTCGGAGCCACTTATCGCCAGCCAGGTGCCGTTCGACACCTCCCAAAAGGATTTCACAAGTAGGTCCCAGCGGGTTACAACAATAACAAATGTACTGTTGTGGTATAACATATACCATTTTGAAATCGGTTTTTCCTTTACTCTGTCTTATATTTAATTACTTCTTAAGAATTAAAATATTTGTACTACGTTTCATGCTTCTTCTTAGATTAATTATTCAAATTTATAACGCTTTGCTTGCTATTGTTATCAATTAAATATTATTACCATTTCATTTGTTTATATTGTATTACTCTGTTGAAAATATTTACGTTTTATTTTTATAACCTTTTTATGGTCTTAAAAAATTAAATTAATTTTTATAAAAAAATATTTTAATTAAACTCAGGTGGCTCGACCATTGACAATTCGTACAAACTCTTTAAAAACACGTCGTAGAGATTTGGCTGCAGCTCTCATTAATCGGGGTGTCAACTTAGATCCTTTAGGAAAATGGACTAAAGTAGGTTTAGTTATATATAATGCGCAAGTTCCACTTGGAGCTACACCAGAGTACTTAGCTGGCCATTATATGATACAAGGGGCTTCGTCTATGCTTCCTGTAATGGCGTTGGCGCCACAGGAAAATGAACGTATTCTAGATATGTGTGCTGCACCTGGTGGCAAAGCATCACATATTGCTTCAATAATGAAAAATACTGGAGTATTATTTGCAAATGATGCTAACCGTGATCGCACTAAGGCTATTGTAGCTAATTTCCATCGTTTGGGTATTATAAACAGCATAGTAAGCTGTGAAGATGGTTGCAAATTTCGATCTGTAATGACTGGATTCGATCGTGTTTTATTGGATGCACCATGTACAGGTACTGGTGTTGTAGCAAAAGATCCAAGTGTCAAGACGACAAAATCTTCTGTGGATGTGCAGCGTTGTTACAATCTACAGCGCAAATTGTTACTTACAGCTATTGACTGTGTGAATGCGAAATCAACTACTGGTGGTTATATAGTGTACTCAACATGTTCAATTCTACCCGAGGAAAATGAATGGGTAGTTGATTATGTACTGAAAAAGCGCAATGTTAAATTGGTACCTACAGGACTTGACTTTGGTGTAGAAGGTTTTACCAAATATCGACAATTTCGTTTTCATCCTAGTTTGAATCTTACTAGACGTTATTATCCGCATACGCATAATATGGATGGATTTTTTGTTGCAAAATTCAAGAAGTTTTCGAATACTATTCCAATAACAAAGGAAGAACAAGAGGAAGATGAAAAGCAACTGGACGAAGCAATTGCTGCCACATATGGAGACAGTAAAACCAGTACAGAGAATACAGATAATGCAAATGAAAGTTCTGAAGAAAACGTGCCTAAAAAACCATCTAAGCGTGCGGGTAAACCATTGCTAACAGAAGTAGAGCAGGATATTAAGAAGAGAAAATTGGAACAAGGTAAAAAGAAATATGTAGCAAATGTTTTTGAGAAACCTATTAAAATAGCAAAGAAAAAGAAAACTGAAGAAACGGAAACTAAACATATCTCACCGAAAGAAAATTTGGATAAAAGCGCAAAGTTTAAAAAACAAAACAAAGTAGCTGAAAAGAAAGGGAACCTTAAATTATCAGAGAAAAAAATATATAAAATGGAAGAAGTTGTTAAAAAAGTAACTGAAGAAAGTACCACACAAAAAGATGGTAGTAAAAAGGAACAATCAAAAAATCAAACATTAAGCAAAAAACTAGATAAAACCGTAGACAAAAAGAAAAAAGTAATTGAAGACGTTCCATTACTTGAAGGAAAACCTATTAAGAAATTAAATAAAATAAAACAGAAATCCAAACAAATTGGACAAATCAAAAATTCTAAAGTTAAAAACAAAAATAAATTTAAAAAGAATTGATTTTTTTTGTAAATTTTTATTTGTATATTGAAATATTTTCATTTTTATTATTTTATTATTAAATAATAGTTACTTTTAATTATGAAATAAATTAAAATGTTCAAAACCAAGCAACAATACTTTGTTTTTATTTATTAACTTTGATGTATATATGCATAAAAAAAATTAACTAAGGTTTTTACTTACTTAGTTGACCCGCGTCGAGTAATCTCCGCCAGCCAGCCCGATTAGTTGCTTGCTGTCTCCATTGGGCAATACTGAGCTCCCTCAAATTATTGGTCACTTGGTCCTTCCACCGAAAATGCGGAAGTCTTCTACCGCGTTTTCCACCTGTGGGTACCGAATCAAACACCTTTCTAACCGAAACACTTTCTTCCATTCGCACAACATGACCAAGCCAGCAAAGCCGCCGAATTTTTATGCACTTATCGATGTCAATGTCTCGGTATAGCTCATACAAGTCATTGTGCATCTTATTCGATTTTCGTCGCCAACGCGTAAGGGACCATAGATCTTCCGAAGAATTTTTCTTTCGATTGCTCCTAACACCTTCCCATTACTGTTGGTAATTGTTCAAGCTTCTGCACCATACAGCAGGACAGGCATGATAAGAGATTTGTAGAGCGTGATTTTTGTTTGTCAAGAGAGGGCTTTATTTCTCAATTGCCTGCTTAGACCGAAGAACATCTGTTGGCAAGAGTGATTCTTCGTTTAATCTCTAGGCTGACGTCATTTTTAGTGTTAAGGTTTTTAGTTCACTATTTATTAACTAATTTTGAAATTTTTGATCGTTCTCTTCTTAAATCTTTTGATTTATCAACTATATTATTCGATATGATTCGAATATTTGTTTTCATAACAATATGTGTCTATTTAGTATATATATGGAGTATAAAGTAGGCATGAATTCTTGGAGAAAGATATTTTTAGTGGAATCGTTTAATAGCAATTATATGCGTAGGTAAGCTAGATTTACATCGATCTGATTCTGATGTTTAGACAACTAAAAGGTATGTTTATGTTATTGGTACCAAATAAGCAAGGAATAAAAAAGTATAGTTTTGAAGTAAACTTACCGAAATGTTTCTATAAATTTCTAGAAGCATTAGAATGTAGTCAACAATTTAGAACAATTTTAGTCACATTGGTTAGGAGTGCTGATACAGAACCGTCTCTTGGATTCTCTTTGGTTATTGGCAGTTGCTACTATTAAAGATTAATTATGATCGCGATTCTCCCTACCAAAAAGTGATGTCAAAAAATCATCATAGCAGTAGGAAAGTTCCACAACTAAAAACATATGGTCATATAACATCATATAAGTGTCTTATAACTCATCCTTTTTTTTAATTCAAAGAAATTGTATTTTACTTTAGAGATAGTAAAGTACATATGACTATACTACGTGTTGTAATAATCGGCTTATTATCTCTTTTAGGTTAGTAATCATTTGCGATTTGGTTTTCTGGATTATTTATATGATATCACAACTATGGTAATAAAACATAGTAATTCAAGTGTATTTTTTCGACAAATTCCATTGATAAATTAATCTAAGTTAAACTCGTGTGGATACGCAACAGTAAGGTAAGTAATAAATATTTAAATTTTGTATTTAAAATTATATGGGAGTTATTCATTTAAACACTATCTAATGGATTATCTTAAGCTACCATATATTACGTCTTCCTTTTTATATTTATCCTCTACTAGGAAAGATAATTATATAAAGCTAATTCGCACTAAGCTCGTACTTGGTTTGTGTTTTTCAGTTCAGTTTTTAAAATTTGCTATAGCTTAAACGACTTTGAACTTATGCCTTGATATTAATACGGTTGTTTTTAATTTTATCTTTTATATTTATTGAATTTTTTGAAATATTCTGTTTGTTTGTGATAGATCCATATGTGAAAAAGAGCTATTTAATAGTCTAGTATGATCAAGAAAATTTGTTAACTTTCTCTAAAGAGATTTTGGCACCTTTAAATGCTTTGACTGTTTCATGATCTCTGGTGATCAATCCTGGGTTATGGTCAATCCATGGTTCGTTCACAATTTTGAAACCCTGCTAAATATTTTTTGAAAAAGTCACACGATTTGCTTATGGCCGAATGTGAGTAATCGCACGAATATATTTTTGATGTACAAATTTTTATATTTGTAGTATATTGCTGAGCATTATACAACGCATTTTATCGTCGATTTGTTGACCTTTATTGGGTGATCTTATCTTGCAGCTGGCACGACCATAAGGAATTACTTGTTAATCAATAATTGGTCTAAAAATAATAATAACATTCAGAACTAATTGTTTTGCTTTTTGCAAGCGAATCAATCAATAAAACTTCCTCTGCTTCCTAGACATCTTATGCCATAACCTTTTTTCCGAATTTTCTGACTTCACCTGTTTAGGTGTTGAACAACCAGCTTCAGTCCTCTGTAAAATTTCTTGTTTTAGTTTAGGATCATGACAGTAGATCCAGGTCTCATTCATACTTATAAATCAACGCAAAAAATCGGTTTCAATCTGCTTAAAATGCTGCAGATTACGCTGAGTAAATTATTATCGATACAGTTTTTGTTGAATTGTCAACTTTTTGAATTCGTGTTTTATATATAATTATTGTCTTAAAATATAGACTACTCGTTCGTCCGAAATGCCTATGGTATCACCAATATCGCGCATAGTCAAACTTGTATTCCTACGAACAATATCTTAGACTTTCTCAATGGTTTCTAGTGTTGTTGCACTTTGTGGATGTCCACTACGTGGTTCATCTTCAACGCAATGTTTCAACTCTAAAACCTATCGATGTATAGTTGGAAATGAAGGAGATAAACTTTCTAAAACAAAGAACTTTATCACTGTGCGATATTCGGTATTTTCCATTATGACAAAATCACCAACACGTCATCTGATAGATTCAATGAAACTCTGAGTGTATTCAGCTGAAAGATGAAATGTCACAATGGCAAAAAATAGTGATTCTTGCATTGCTTTCAAAACTTTTTAATTAATCTGTAATTGATTGTTATGTTATTGGTATATGTAAAAGTTTGCGTTCTAATATGGTGATGATGAAGGTTAGTTAACCAGCCTGACTTATATTTAAGTATATTAGGAAGCTCTTCATAATGTCATTTTATATTAAGAGTCTTTCTAAGTGTTGTAATTATATTGAGATTTTTTTGTTTAATTGTTGTTTATTTTAAGTGTTTTTATAGTCATTGTTATTTACTTTTTGAGAAAATCCTAAGTTATTAGCATTTCTGGAAACAATTTTCAATTGTATCAAATTCCTAGCACAAATAGATCACGATTATCTTTATAACATTTTTTCACTTATAGTCGTAATGGAAAAATTTGGTCAAACGGTGATCTCTCCAGAGCAGAATTGAGTTTCCGACAATTCATTACAGAGTTAATATAAAATTATTGAAGGATCTTTGGAATCGTTGATTTCTCCATACAAAATTTGTAGTGATACTTGGGTGGGTAGTAAAGCTTTGGAGCATTTTTGAAGTCGTGTATATAATACCACCGTATCGAGGAGAGTTGTGCCACGGATATTTTCAGAACTTTTTTTTCTTATTTGACATAGCTTATTTAATATTAAATCTATTATATTCTTCTGCTCCCACTATTACTTTTCAATGTCAAGATTTCCCAAATAAAGAATAAATTCTAATATTTATTAAAGATACTTTTTTTGTATAATATTTGGAACGAGAAAACAAAATTTCTTTGTTTTGAATTTTGTATAAATAAAGTCAATAATTTTGATGAAGCCGAACTGAAGTGCACTTAATTTAAAGAGATTAAATAATTTTGGATAGATCAAATTGGCAATTAAAAAAAAAACAAGACAAACGAGACAATGTAGATTTATAAGAACAAAAACAAGTCCAAGCTTTACGAGAAGATAAGCATGAATATTAAAATACAATATATATGTACGTATACTGTATATTGTATTGTATGTATGTAAATACTAAATATAATATTGAAAATATACCAACCTAGTAGCTCATCTCAAAAACAGTTGCTGAATTGATTTCAATTTGTTAAGCAGGTAAAAATTAATCGAATAACTCGCTAAAAATGTCGAAATCGAATTTGTTCACTTTATTAAAATTTTTACTTATTCCGGCTTTTTGGACTGCGAACGCACATGGCGATTATCTTCTAGTTTCGGATTGCGGTGAACGCGCTTCTTGCTTGTCGCATATTAATGAAGAAATTGTATCACTGATAACTCGGAACGTAGATAATAACACTTCTCCATGTGAAAATTTTTGGAAATATGCCTGCGGTTTGTGGTCACCGGGACCATTTTATGATGTCGTGGATAATTTTGGGGTGGTGAACAAATATTATGTAAAGAAATTTGAAGATTTTTTTGAGACATCCGGATATAAGAATGAAATAAAAGAAAATGTGTTATTAGAAAAGTTACACACCTATTATATAGCATGCAAGAGAGGTCAGAATGCCTATTTGCCTATGCAAGAATATTTGCAAGCGTTACCACTTAGTACTTCACTTAATTGGACAGAATTAATAGATGCACCGATGTGGAAAGACGACTACTGGAAGCAACATTTGAATCATTTCAATTGGTTGCGACATATTGCTGAATTACGTAGATTCGGTTTAAATGGTATATTTATAGACGAGTCTGTAGGTTTTGCATTTAATGACTCTATGAGTTCGATTATAGAAATAGAAATGCCTAGTGACGAGCATAATTTGGAAAACAATTATGATTTAGTGAAATCGTATTTTGCTCTGGGTTTAACTAATGAGATAAGTGAAAATTTAATTAAACTCTCACTAAATTTATATGAATTCGATGAAGAGTTGAAAGCTTTACGTTTGAAATATCAGGAGGAAAAGGAAGTGGGCATGATTTTGACATTACAACAATTCAAACATGTTGTGCCCAATATAGACTGGCAACTATATTTTAATATTTTATTAGATGAAGTAGCACAGCCTGAATTGAAAATTGCTGTGTCGTCTATTGATTATATGCGTGACGTTGCTGCTTTGCTCTCCCAGAAGGATGAAAAAATCGTTTATATGTACATACAGTTGCATTTATTTAAATATCTACAAGATATAGGCTCTACGAAAAGCTGCATTGATCATATGGGTGTTGTTATGCCTCTGGGTATGGATTATATTTATAAACATCACATATATAAAACATATAACGATGATGAGAGAATTTTGCAAAATATTTTTAAAAAATTAAAATTAAAATTTGACCAACAACTGAAGGAAAATAAATTACAACTAAGCAACGAATCACAAAGTTATCTTCTAGCAAAATTAAATACTATGAAGCTACGATTAGGTAATCTGCCACAACATGCATTCTTACAATACTACAATTCTTACTACACCGAACTTAATATCACATCTTCTAATTTTTTTAATAATCACTTGATTTTATTGCATTTCCGTACACAGCAGCAACACTCCGCCGTTGTGCATATGAAAGCCTATAATGAGGATGAATTCTATGTCAATGACGATTTACTTCAAATACGTAATGCGCCTTATTTCGTGCATCAACGGAATCTATTAATTGTGCCTCTCATTTTTATGAGTATGCCATTTTTTCATAATGCATTGAATCCTTTGTTTCAATATAGCATTGTTGGTTGGTTATTGGCACATGAAATGCAACATGCCTTCGAAATTGAAGGCATTATGTATGATGAACTCGGCAATGTTAATATGCCACTTGCAATAACCACAAAACAGCAACCCGAATTTGCCGCAGCAGTGAAGTGCTTGACACGCTCTCCAACCGCAGCACTTATCGAGCGGATTGCGGACGTTAATGGCTTCCAATTGGCCTATGACGCATACTTCGACGCCACTAATGCAAGCTTTCCGGAATATATGGACTTTTCTAATGAATTCAGTGCAAAGCAGTTGTATTTTCTTAATTTTGCACAATTTTTCTGTGGAACACTACCAGCTCCAATAGGTCATGACAGTGATGATGTACGTGTTATAGAGACCGTCGCAAATATGCCTGAATTTGGGGTGACTTTTAATTGTTCGCTTGGTCAACGTGAGAATCCAATAGAAAAGTGTCAAATGTGGCGGTGATAATAATTTTACCAAAAAGTAGTCTATTAAATTTTTTTATGTTTTGTTTCTATGAAAAAAAAAAATTTTTTATTAATTAAAAATTTTTTAAATTTTTTTATTAATCTTTTTAAATTTGTTGTTATTAATTTTTTAAATGTTTATATTAGTGTTGACCTCAATACTTATGTGTTTAAATTTTGCCGGGCTTTAGGTCGTGTTTTTACAAAATTATATTTTTATATAATAATTTGTATTATATAAAATGAAACTTCAGATTAAATAAAAAAAATAACAGTTGTTATATAAATATTTTTATTTAACAGATATTTCGGTTCACTTCATAGACCATCATTTTATCAATATTTTTAAATTTGACTTTATTAATTTTTAATTTTTTTTTATTAATTTTTTTATATTAATTTTTAAAACTTTTTTTATTAACATTTCAAATTTTTTTTATTAATTTTATAAATGTTTACATTAGTGTCGACCTCAATACTTATGTGTTAAAATTTTGCCGGGCTTTAAGTCGTGTTTTTAAAAAATTATAATTTTATATAATAACTTATATAAAAACAAACTTAAGATTAAATAAAAAATATCACAGTTGTTATGTATATATCGTATACCATTATTTTATTAATTTTTTAAATTTGTTTTTATTATTTTTTTAAATTTTTTTTATTAGTTTTTTGAAATTGTTATTAGTTTTTTGAATTTGTTTTAATTAATTTTTTTAATAATTTTTTTTTGGTTTGATGTTATTAATTTTTTAATTTTTTAATTTTTTTTATTGATTTTTTTCATTTTTTCTTTTATTAATTTTTTTAATTTTTTTCACTTTCTACTTTTTAGTGTTGAGGTTATTGAAATCGAACTAAGCATTCGTTATAATATATTTTTGTGATTTAAGCCACAAAAATAAATTATACTTAAAACCTTATCGAATATCGGAACTACTGAGTACATTCTGAAAACTCCTAATATTTGTTTATATTTATTATCAAATCTTTGATTTGATTTGACTTACTATTAACTCTTAAAGTCATCAGTGACTTACTATTCAGTCATCAGTGAATAGTAAGTCAATAGTAAATTGATTTATTGCCTGGAATGAATATGTGTAAACATGTAATCTAATAATTACATCAAATAAAATATATCAAAATAATTTGTTTATTTTGTTGATAAAAATAGAAAGTCCATAATATTATAACAAAATCGCTTTGATCTCGCCAACGTGCAAAGATAGATTCTTATCAGCTTCAAAGGTATTTAGATGCAATAAAAATGTTAACAATATTTTCACACATTTAATAAAGTTGATGACAAAGTATATAAAATAAATAAAAATTTGTTTATTTAGTACTTTCATTGCTATGAGCCCTTTTATTGATTTGAGAAGTAATAGATACATTCAAAATGCCCACCAGCATGAGCTTAAGTTATTTTGTTATAAAATCTCTATATATTCATAATGAAATTTCATACTATAAATGAAATATTTAAAAAGGAAATAAAGTTAAATCAATGAGTAATATAAAGAGTTACTATAGGTGCATTTCTAGATATTGCTTGTCTTGAGAAAGAAACTTACTGTGATGTAGATGTCCTCAGAAATCAAATGTTATGTATGATTCATTTAAAGTTAAAAGTTGTGAATCGTGGGTATATTGTACAAATACTCGTACATAGTTGTAAAGAGGTCTTAACTATAGAGACAGAGCGATTAACTACCTTGTAAGACTATCATCACAGTAATGTTAATAAAATCTAACTCGTATTTATTTCACAAAATTACTTGCTCCTTAAGATTTAATTAAGTAGTTTTTATGTGGTGTCTCTCTCAAGCAAGTTCACATTATATTATTTTGTCCATTATGTTATAAAATTAACTAATGGCTTTTCGATTGGTAAATCTGAAAGCCATCTACATTTACTACCGATTTGTCAAATTTTGTTATCCAATCAAACATTTTTGTAGGATTTTGATCTGGATCCCGCGATTCAGATCTGCTACCAGATTTTTTTTCTGGGAGGTCTTATAAATGAAAACGTACTGCTACCAATTATAATTTAAAACATAACACAGTGGTACCTAGTAAATTTTAGTCGTCTTTTACTACAGACACCTTACCACGGTGATATTTTAATTTCTAATCAATTCGCTAGAATGTTATAAATGAATCTCGAGTGTTATGCATTTTACCCCAGATGTACCAATCAAAAATGAAAATTTCACTAGAAGTTCATTAAAAAAGATTCTCGATTAAAAAAATTATTCCAGGATTACCTCAATAGAGAAAGTAAATTCGGTCTTTGGATTTGATTCTTCTCTGATTTTGGCCCAAGATTAATGAATGTAGTCTTAAAAAAAATGATGCTAAATACCTCAATGCACTGGTATATACTATCTATTCCAAACGGTGTAAACGGGCTGAAAGAATATCGCACATAACTTAAGTGCACCAGAAAATATTCTTTTTAGTCAAATTATAATCCTTACACTGTCTTAATTTATATATTGAACATTTGTACTGAATTGTTTACTATAAGACATTTTGGAATGTGGGTTTACAGAAGCAAGCGACCAGCTTCTTTTAGAGTCAGAATGTACTGCATGTTCTATATGTTAGAATAATTTTTAAGTAAGTATTTTTCATAGACGAGTAGATTATAGCATACTTTTGATGTTATTGCAGAGTTTCTGATAGATTATTTGTATCGATCTTCGATTTGTTGTATTCAGTTAGGGCGGTCTAGTCTAACAATTGGTAGTTGTTGTAAAATGTTTCAACAAGGAGCAAATCATCAACATTCGTTGGACCTTGTAAGACCAGAGTTAATTATTTATGTAGGTAGCAATTGGATGGAATTGCACTCTATTCAGTCGCACATTCTTGTTTTTGTCAATAAGTGCCTAAGACACATATTTAAAATATGATGGCCAAGGCGAATTTCAAACGATGTATTGTGGAGAAGCGGCAGAGGCAGAAATCGAAGTCAAAAAGCGGAAGTGGCACTAGATTGGGAAGACACTGCGAAAACCCTGCACATACATCTCCAGGTAAGCTCTTAGATGGAATCTTCAAGGTAAGCGATGTTCGGGGTCGCCATCTGAAATGGGGAGAAGAACAATTGATGTAGAACTTGACTCAGCACATTATACATGGAACGATCAAAGGAGTTGTGGAGGCCCTATGCTCCATGTGAAGTTAACAGAACCTAGAAGAAAAGGTAGTTAGCAATTGTATTAGCCGCAAAATTGTAATTCAGTTTACGTTTAGATTAAAATTCATGTTCATACAGAGTTTTTAGTTTTAAATTTTGAGATTTAACTTGTAATTAAGCTGTTGAGCAACTGCAAGTACATTTCATTAAGAACATTTTGAATGTTTAACTTAATTTATAATTTCATTGTATTTTATCTTCAAAAAAAAAATATTACAATCTATTATATTGGTATTATTATTATAAGGAGTATCTATATTTTAAACAGTAGCCGACTATAGCACGTGCAGCATTGTTTGCATTAGAACACACGCGTTCTCAGTCAATTTTTGCATTTTGGGAATATAAATTAAGTAGCCACCTGCTGTGATGTTTAATAAAATTCTTGAAAAAAGATATAGAGGTGAATAGTGTGAATCATTTATTACCAGCTACAATAATTAAATTGTCAATAAAATCTGCAATAGTGCAATTGCACATTCATCATTTCAGATTGTGTTCGAAACTTAATTGCAATGTAAAATCGCATTCAAGTGCTTTTTTCCAACGTTTTGTTCCATTTGAGGTTCGCGTTTGTCGAACCGCGTCATTATGGAGTGTGAATATTTTTGTAATTATTAAAATGAATAGTTAAAAACGTAATGAAATCCAGAAATGTATGAGATAATTAATTTTATTTTAAATTTTTCATTTTTAAAATTTTATACAATTTTATCATTATCAATAATCGTTTCTCATATATCATAGTAACGGTCACAGAATTGGTCATAGAAAATTTATAATTTTATTTTAAATGCTAAAATTTTTTTTTATAAAAGTTATAATATTTTTTTTAATGAAAGCTATAAAATAGAGTTATGTGGATATCATCATTATTTAATGATTATTATGTTGAGGCTAGTTGAGTCAGTGCACTTCAGCATCTTTACTCTCTACTAACTGCGAGGTTTCTTCATAACCCCTCTCTACGCCTTGACTGGATTATTGTTTTTCACTTCATCAGACTAAGCAATAACTGACTTCACATCTGCATACCTCCTCGAGGAGCCTCTAACCATTCTGAGATTCGATTACGCGGTGTTGGTAAGCAGTGCGCTTTGATATGCATTTGTTCTCTTGATAGTATTGTTTTTACCACTGAGTTTTTGTCAATCCAAAGTCTTTCGGATACTAATACCCTGAATTCCTAGTATTACATTTGCATATATATCCCTAGATATTTTAATTTACATAGCAAGACATTTGTTTCATCTCAAAAACCAGTTTGATATCAAACTATATGCAATGATATGCAATTTCGACCTACAGATCCACACTATATCATTTTCTAAGTCACTAACGTTACCTAACATATGGTGCATGAAGAGGGCTTGAGAGTAGGAAATTAGTAATATTTACCAAAACTTTGTATTAAAATATAAGAACGTTTATTACTATTTCTAATTTATTTAATTTGAAATCATCAATTTAATACATTTCTGTTAGCTTTTATGACACCCTCTTTCCGGCATTTTGCTTAATATATGATTTTAAGATTAAATTATTGTTATAGTAAAGTTTGTCTTTTACTATTTTATTTCACACAATATTTCAGCATAATTCTTTTTTGTTTATAAGGCCTTTCATAAGATTAAGTTCAAAACATGTCCAATATAGAAATGCAGTTGTATAAACACAAAGAAGTTAAGCTCTTCACTTAACACCAGGACGTTCTTAACACCTGTATAAAGATAATGCATTGGTAAAAATTCCACCAGTCACTATGTTATTAAGGAGCTAAGCATATC